ATAATTATTAATTATTAATTTTAAAAATTAAAACAAAAACTAACCGTTACAATTCCTTGACAATAAACTTAAAAAATTAGGAAAATGTACTGCAATCTTCGTTTGGCCGTAGAGAAAAATGTAGAAGAGGTGGTCTAGATCCATGTCCCACTGCCATGTGGATCCCCATCTATTGTTCCACTTACAAAGTCACGCCACTTCTCCCACACTTGCTGCTTTGAAGTGGTAATGGAAAGTAGAAAGTAAAAACCAGTACTCTTAACTTAGAGAAACATGTATTATTGTAAATTCAACTACAAACAAGTGCTATTGGGTCTTTATGTCAAAATAAAAATTAAAAAATAGGTTTTTAATTTAAATAAGTGTTTTAATAATTTCTTGACAAATATTAACCATATATATCTTTTGTATTGGTCAACTTACTCCATAATTCAAATTATATTCTTTTTTTAAGTTGGCTAGTAATTTTATACTAACAGTTATACTACTTAAATCATTCCTAAAATCTTCAATTTGTAGAACTTATATATATTTATTCATTTTTCCCTTTTTTTTCTCTTATATATCAAGAAATTAAAAGAGAAGCTTTTCTTAGTTAAAGAATTAAATAAGAAGCAGCTTTTTTTTTTTTGCTCAAACAGTACTTGTATTCAAACCATCCATAAAAATTAAAATTTTTCAAATTTTCATTTTTTATTATATATCAAAGAATGATCAGCTTTCTCAGAAAGGGAATTATACGTTGCGCAGTTTCTGTTTCCAAACCTAGACGAGCTGCAATTGTTAAGGATTAAAGTTGACATGATTTGGATAGCATCTTACTGTGTTGAGAACCTGACGAAATTGATAATTCGTGGCTGCGATAACTTGAAATACCTATTCTCATCCACTATGGCTAGAAGTCTAGTGAAGCTTGGACACCTTGAAATAGAGGAATGCAAGATGATGACAAAGGTTCTTTCTAAAGAGAATGAAGAAGAAAAGGGGAATTTGATTTTCCCTGGGTTGAAATTTCTACAGTTACTGCAACTCCAAAACCTTGTTAGCTTCTACTTTGGAGACTCTACCATTGAGTTCTCATCCTTGAATAAATTGATTGTATCGGGCTGCCCAAAATTGAAGGGTTTCGCAGTTATGTCTACAAACACAGATGTTGCAGTAGGTATTCAGCCTTTCTTCAACGAACAGGTATGTCTTCATTTCATTTGCATTTTGGCTTTAGAACTTTGGGAGC